ACACACACACCCAAAAAACACATAAACCAATATGTATATGATAAAAGAGATTCTTTTTTTTTTTCTCTCTCTCTCTCTCTCTCTCTCTCTCTCTCTCTCTCTCTCCCCCTCTCTCCCTCCCTCCCTCTCTCCCTCTCTCCCTCCCTTCCTCCCTCTCTCTCTTTCTCTCTCTCCCACTTTCTCTTAAATATCATTAAGGGAAGAGCCAGCGCTGAAAAGATCTATGGCATCTACCATTGCTTTTTGAGCTTGGGGCCAGATAGGCAGCATGCCTCACAGAACATGGATAGACTGTCCTGAGGGAATGTCCATGCTCTCATTCTGTCTAAAACTTGTCCTTATCACAGATAGTCAAACAACCATCTTTCCTTTTTCCACCGTTTTTTCTCTAGCTCCTTCTTAAGATTTTTCCCATTCCCAATATTTTAACCTACAAAAATATTCAGAATCTACTTGCAAGTGAAATTGGAGTTCTCAGTTGGAAGTAAAAAGTGAATTTCAGAGGTAACTCCCTATGGACTTGAAAAAAAAAGTTGATATCTGCTGTTTGTAGCTTGAGATACGGTTTGATCCTTGGACTTTATGGATTCTAAGTCCCATTGACTGGGGAAAATCAATAGCAGCCTCTTTATCCTACCTACTGGCAAAGAACACACTGAAAAGATGATAAGAAAATGTCAATTCATTATTTCTTTCCAAATTCTGAAGGAGAAATAAGAGAAAATATGTTGTGTGTATTTGTGATTGCTTCTTTCTTAGGAGATTGTCAAATGATACATCAAAAACAATCTCAAATATTAAAGAAGTCGTCTTTCTGTCCTTATTAGCAATTTTGTAAACTACTATGTTGGTAATTTGATCAAATTAACTAACTATGTCTTTCTGTAGTGATTCTTTTTTTTTTTATCATGATGAGATTGGATTTTAAATACAATTTCACCCTTTTTAAGTCAGAGTGGAAACCATCTATATTCTCAAAATGGGAGGTCAAGATGTGACTGTCTGATGTGTGTCTGAAATCTGGCACCCTATGGTAGAGTTCCTGCATCTAGTAGTTGCTTTATGAATGGAAAAAGTTCCATCATACTGTTTTGACATCAGAGTTCCAAACTATTGCTACAATTTTCATCCCAAGCCTAATTAAAAATCTTTACATTATGCACAGTTGTGCCATTTCAAATCTCCCTGGTGAAATGAATTTGAAATGTTGCTGGATGGTTAGCTGAACTTGTGGAGAAAACTTGTGTATTAGAATTATCAATGCAAATGTGACAGGATTTGATTTGTATGCAAACTATAAGAAAATAACATGTGATATACTTATGATACATTTAAGGCCACAGGAGGTGCTATTTTGACAGTGTTGTGGATGGCACAGTGACTCCAGAACTTGTTAGCACTGATCCCTGGACTGACTTGGCACTGAGGAGTCTTATTTGCCTTAACAGCAGCAGGAGCTACAGGATCTGGCACCTGCTACAACCAGTGGCTGCTGGGTTGGCAGCCTCAAAGTTGGTCATGTCTGTCACCTGTCCTCATGTTGGTAGAACAGTGGCTGTTTTCCACTATTCAGTGTCATTTTTCTGTCATCACCTTTGGAAATAGTAGCTCTGTCCTTTTCCAGTTACACATTCATTATGTTAATCTCTCAAAAGAGGGCTTACTTTTAAATTCATATGTCACTGTTTATTTAACTGCCAGTTTGTTAAAAAAGTTTATATATAGTCTGAAATTTACAAACTAGCAATTGAAACCTATTAAAATGAAAGTTGGAGGCTATTTTTCCCTGTGATATTAGATATTTTCAGGAAAAAATGGAATTGCTCCAAGATGAGAATACAGAAATTTGATGTTACTGAAATTGTAGGAAAACATGGTAGGGCGTGATGGGCATGAAGACATTACTTTGAGAAACGAGAAAGGCTTCAGAGAAAACAGGGAGAAAAGAAAGGCAATAATAATGGAGGAAATGGGAAAGAAGCCATGCAAGGCCGAGGTCCTCTGTATACAGGGCTCCTGGTGAAATGCAGGCTCTAGTTCCTTTTCAGAGCTGTGACCCATTCGAATGCATCATCACTGAACCTGACAACATAACGGGATATCTTGAAAAATGAAATTGGACAAGATTACAAATAATGTTACATAATGTTTCTGAAGCTTGCCTCACAAAGCCAGAATCCTTTCTTACTATGTGATTTCAGTAGGTCCTTAATTTGTTTCATTTGTAGATGTTCCTGTTCAGACTAGATGTTAAGTACTGAGCCTAGCCATCATTTTAAGATACCTTGCTGTGATTTGTAATAATGGTTTCTAAGGAAAGTTAGCCTCAGAAGAAAAATACAGAAATAAATGTTCTTTTCAAAATGAGGAAAAGTGAAGTTGTTCTTCAGATTAATAGTTGAATGCTAGCAATTTATTAAGACTCTAATGGTACAAGACTGGTGAGCTAGTTGAATAATTAAAAGAGAAGTTGTAAGCTGTTAGGATGAAAAATACTAAATCCTATGCTAAGTCCGTAGTGGATATTTCTCCTAGGTTCGTGACTATATTGTTATTAAGTTTTTGTGACTGTTTACTCACTTGTATCCAAACTTAAATCAATGAAAGAAATTTGTTTATTTTTTTCCTATGACTCTGTCAGTGTCCAAAACTAACTTGCTCTTGGCAGATATATGTTAGGTGAAAGAGAAGGGCCTTCCTTTAGTTAGCCTCTATTTCTCTGGCCTTGCAATGTCATATTCAGTGATACTGCTGGTTCATTTTCAGAGGAAGCACATTTCTTGTAGTATTGTGACCAGCCACATTAACAGCTGTCAGTCAGTATGGCATGGTGTTTGGCTGACTGTGGGCCTATCAAATTTATCGTGGGTTAAGGTTATAGTATGTCGTTGTTAAACAGGTTTGCTTTGGGAATAGACTAGAAATCCATAGAATACTAAGAGCTCTCACTGATAGATTTCATAGTAGAACTTAAGAGGCTGCATGCTTGAACTTTTCCTTATCTTAGATGCTGACCAATCTAAAAATTTAATATTATGTAAATGAAATGTTAAATAATCAAGATTTGCCTTTCTTCTAATATGCCCAACCATGGATGAATCTCTTGATTTTTAAATAGATTTTATTTTGTGGAGGAATATTTGGTTTATAGCAAAATTAAGCAGAAAGAGTTCTCATATATTAAGAAAGGCTTTGATATTTGAAAAAATGAGTTGCTCGCTTTATACAGTATGAATTTTCCATATTTTCCCCTTCTCGATTTTTTTATTTTTTAAAAAGATCTTTATTTTAAAATATGTATTATTATGTATATATTATGAAACAATATAATCTAGTTGACATTTATAGAAATTTCCACCCAACATCATTAGGATACACACACAGAACATATACCATGATAACCGTGCTCTTAGTAAATGGTCCTGATTACAACAAACCCTACATATATAAAAGATTCGAGGGCTGGTGAGATGGCTCAGCAGGTAATAGTGTTTATCACCACCACGTCTGATGACCTGAGTTCTGTCCCCATTCCCAAATGATGGAGGGTACTGACTCCAGCACATGGTTCTCTGATCGCCATACTTGCATTATGTACATATTACACTATTGCTTTATTAACTTAAAATAATTGAAACCACACCACACTTGTTCTCTGAACTCAGTGGAACCTATCCAGAAGATGACTGACAAATGGCAGGTGAAATAATTAGGAGAATTTTATCTAAATGAAAATCTCATTCTTCCACTCATTATTCTGAATTGTCATTAGCTTACAACTGGGAAAATAGGTATCTTTCATCTGAGGGTGAACTGAATGATAATGAAGCAATAGTCGATTGCAGCTTACAATAAATGGTTTTTCTGTTCACTTTATTGCAGCTTCTCTGTTGAAAGGACTAAAGCATGCAAACATCGTGCTGCTTCATGACATCATCCACACCAAAGAAACACTGACACTTGTCTTTGAATATGTGGTGAGTTAAGAATTCTGGCTAGCAAAATACAAATAGAATTCTCATAGTGTTATGAAGTTTTATTTTTAGGTTGCTTTACTGAAATGAGTGTTACCTGAGTATATGAGACATTATTTTGAGAGATTCTTGAATATGTATCATAAAAGAGCATCCAGAAAAACTTTTTTTGCATCTTGTTAGATATATTATCTATTTGTAGCCTATTTGTGACCAGTATACATTATAATTCTTAGGCTTATCAAAAAGGATTAAACAACATGCTGATGAGCACCTTCAAAATAACTCAAAAACAATAAACATGCTTTTCCTCAGGACTTGTTAGTTGATTTTACATGAGCTTCCTTGTGGAGTTGTTATTTTGGGGTGAGGAAAGAAATCCTGATACCTACAATTTAGATTTCCAAGTTTCCCTCCTTCAGTTGTATTGTAGTTGTTAACTAAGGCTTCTAACTTGTATAGCATACAATGTAATGATCTTACTGTGTTGATGGTATTACTACTATAAGACTTGGACTTGAACTGGTAATTAATCTTTCTTCATTTCTCTCAGTAAAACATATGGTATGTGTGTAGCACCATTTGAGCATTTAACTGTGGAATCATGAAATGTAACCATGATAATTAACATCCCAGTTTTCACAGATGGATCTGAGAACATGTAATTTATAAGATACAAATGACATCGATGCAGATTTTTATTGCGAGGAATAGCTATTGGTATGGTGAATGTATTAAGGCCCTATTTTGTAATTACCTCACTAAGTTTTTTTTTTATTTGAAATCATTTCCCTGCCTTAAAAAGTATAAAAGAATGAGTATTTGAAGCATTTTTATCTTGCTAATGTCTGCCTGTATCTGTTTGTCATTTGAAAATTGTTGTCTCATGAAGAAGCCATTCATTTTGTATATTTACATATAAATGATAGATATATTTGAATAATATGGTAATGCAGCTACAAGGACAGCTAGAGCTGGCAGTTGCATATATTACATGCTACCAAGAATGGAAGCACAGTCTCACATCAATGCAAATATAATTTCTTTTGTTTCATCCCATGATTTGGAGTCAATAGTGTATTCAGCTGATTTAAGCTTCCAACTTTCAATTCATATTTTCTAATGTTTCTAATTTACATATTTCAGTGAAATCCAAAATTTTCAACTATACTCACTAACTTCTGCACTGTTTTATAGAAAAGGTATCTCAAAAATGTATTTATTCCCTCCCTCATATTGTGTAACTTAGAAGGAACAAACATAGTATGGACCCTAAAATCAGCAGACTTGATAGAGTAACTATAATGTGAAAATATGTTCCCCAACTCTCAAAGGGCAATGCAGTTTATTTGTGAAACAAAAAATGTTATGTTGAATGCCATTTGATGGTTTTATATTTTGTGGAGTTGGATGTAAAGAAAAGATAGCAGTCCACTGTTTTATAATATTTGCTGATTAAGACTGATTTTTGAGAGTAATCACTTTTCTTTATGGGAGTGAAATTTTTCCTGGTCCCAATTCTTGTGGGTAGATACTGATGGTCATAATCAACTGTGTAATAGCCCAAGCTTGCACCACACTTTATAGGAAGTATTGCCTTCTTGAGGAAAAGAACCTGTGCAAGCCTTCTTTGTGAATGCCTGACTCGCTTTCATCTCTCTCCACCTTCATTTCCTTCCCATCCCTCAGTTTCTTGCCTTTCCCTCGCTATTCTCTATATCTGTTTGGTCCCTCTGGTGAAGCATTCTTGGCTGCTACACTGAAAGTTTGTTAGTTCCCATGAATCTCTGAAGCCAGAGTGTGGAGATATTAAGAACTTCAGGCTGTAGACTACCTTGAGAATTTTGTTAGTTTCTAGAAAGGTGTAGACTGGTGAGCAGTCTTAGCCTGATTATATACCAATTGCTCAGTATAACAATAAATTTTTTGAATATTTTCTAAAGATTTTTGCCCCTTTACATTTCTCGCTAACTACTTGCCCTATGTAAATATGTTGACACCTCAAGAATTAAGATTTCTGTGTACTTTAGCAGATTAATCAGATTGCTTGCCTCACCATGTCAAGTAGAAACAAACCCCATCCTTTTCTTGCGTATTTCATACCAGTGAGAAGTGACCATAATTTTGTAGCCTGGAATGCCTTGGGAAGTGGATTGGATAATACTGGGGGTTTAGGATAGGAAGCCAGGGTGGTGTTGGCTTTGGAAGTAGATTGGAAATTAATGGGAGCATAGGTCAGGAAGCCAGGATGGTGTGGACTTGGGATGATGAGGGAAGGCTTAAGAAAAGCATGACCACAATACTGAAAACCAACAGTGCTGATTTGCTGAATTTTACTCCTGGTTCTGTGCTGAGGTTCTACCTTCATGTCTTCCTTCTTTGTCTGCTTTTGCCTTTGAAACAGGATCATGCTGTTTAGCCTTGAACATGAGCTCTCCCGGCTCCAGCCTCCCTAAGTACTGGGATTTCAGGCATGCAGCACAATGCTGGGCTCATTAGCACTTTTGATGTCCTTCTGCACAGTTGCATGGGGCTAAGATTGCTACCACTTTAAAAGTAGTAGCCCAATAAACAAGTTGGGTACCTTTTCTAAGGTATTATAGTACATAAGAGAAACTCAGATTCATCTTATTCTCATATCTACTTAGAACGTATTTCCTTTGCATTTTTGTATTTTTATTTAGCTGGAGCCTTTGGTCAGACCTGGAAAAGGAAACTTTTTTTTTCTTTATACAGTCCTAATTTCTTATTACGATATAGTTAAACTGATAAAAATATATAAACATTTAAATTTTTATTTCAACTGAAAAATGTATTTTAAGGTTTCATAAGGCAAATTTCTAATTTTATTGTATTGCCCCATATATTCATATGTACGTGCACAGAAACATATGGCTCGGTTATTTAACATGTTCTAAAATCAGTATGAGGCATTTCAATCTGAACTTTCCCAAGCTTAATAATGATATTACCATGTTCCAAAGTTGGCATATCAAAGTTATTTTCTAAGGAGCATAGGTACTGTACTTCTGTGGCCTTGGTAGTACCGCTCACTGGGCCTGTTGCCACACAACTGTAATCCCAGCTTCTTAGGTGACTTTGCCAGGACAGTCACAGTGTGAGGCCTGTCTGGACTAGAGAACAAATTAAAGGCCAGCCTGGTCAACTTAGCAAGATCTTGACTACAAAAGGGAGGTGGGGTGCAGAAATAGAGCTCAATGGCAGAAGACTTACCTAGCATGTCAAGGGCCTTGGATTTACTCTCCAGTACCACCAAAGCAGGCAAGCAAGCAAGCAAGCAAGCAACCCCAAACAGAAAAAAATTTAAATCCCTTTTTGAAGGAACATAAGCAGTGTACAGAAGAAATCAATAGTCCATGTGCTGGGGCTACAGGGAGACCCTGTCTCAAAAAGACCAAAAACAAAGCAAAACAACAACAACAACAACAAAAAACCCTAGATGTGAAGGGAAAGCAAAATAATATAAAGGTTCTCAGACACTATTGAATATATTTGCTTTTGACTTTAGAATTACATTTTTAATGACTTTCTGAGGCAAACCTATAATATGGGTCTCACCAAGTAAAGATTTTTATTTATAAGGTTCACATAATGTGAGTATATTTCTTTCTTTTTCTTTAAAAGAGAACTCTAATCCTGGCTCTTTTATATTTTTCTCACAAACAACATTTTAGGTTTCGTAAAGCCTGCTGAGGGCCAGAATAATGAAATAAGTGATGAAATGTTAGTGATATGGAAGAATGCTCACAGAAATGACTTAGGAGGTAATTATCACAGCATTTCAGTGGATAATGGATTTTGTTGATTCCTCCTAAGTACTATAAAAAGTTTCTAAAACATTCTGAAATTGAGCTTCTTACCCACTTTCACAGTGTGCAGATATAATCATTTGGAAGCTTCAAAGTTGGGAGTTGTGGGGCAGCAGGCCCCCTGGTGGCTCCTGCTTTAGCCCCATGGCAGGTGGCGGGCCCCAGAGAGGCATGCTGTTTCCAGAACTGCCTTCCTCCAGTAGATGACAGATGTAAAGGATCACCTTTAACCAGGGAGAGGCTCAGCAGACTTGTAAAGGAACCTGCTTCTATAATGGTTAAAATACTATTATAGCCTTTTTATTTCATGCATAGGCTTAAGACTTGAAAGAGACATAAGAATAGCTTAAAATCATTGACTCCAGAATATATTTAGTTGTGAAAATGCTAAGAATTTTCATCTACTTACATAGAAAGCTAAGCAGTTTAGTTCTTATGCTTTTTTGTTTTTGCCAAAGACAAATGAGTGCCTCATCACCCTATTTAACACCATGTGAAAATTTAAGCTAAATTCCATAAATGGAAATAATATTAATAGTAAACACGATTACATAAATGTATGTTTCCATTAAGTTCATAACTATTCTATTTTGCCTTACATTGCAGAAGAGCAACCATCTGGAACATAACTTTTGCTACATATTTAATAATTATGTATGAAAATAAATACAACAGTGAATGGGGTTGCCAGAGGTGAAATGGGGGGCAGTCAAAGGTTCAACTTTACAGGATGTGTAGGTTTTAGAGGTTACTGTATAATGTGTGCCTTAAGTTGTCAGTATTATTATGTACATAAAATGTGTTAGGAGGGCAAATTTAACATAAATTGTTCTTACCATAGAAGCATGAGTAAATGCAAACAAAGGATACAAGGAAGTATGGGAGATGGCAGTGTTTATTTCTTTGGTTACCTTGTTTGTGATGTTAGTAACATGGGTTTCTACACATGCCTACACTCATCAAAATGTGTACATTGATTATGTGGAGATACTTGTACAGAGTTACAGCTCAGAAAGCTGTTAATGAAAGGAAGAAAACCAATTCATAACTAATTATGATAGGACTAGAAACAATCATTTTATTTCTCCTACTGTGCTGTAAACTAATATCCAAATGAGTGGAACATGGAAGCATCCCCATAAATGTTGTCTGATTAAATTCTAACTCTACCCT